TTTACAAATATAAACGCAATGGTAGTTACGTAAATGGGATTCTTATTTTACCCCTTATTTTTATTACCTCTTGCCTCTTGTTATCTTGTATATTATGTTAGTTTTATTTTATAAATTGTCTCTGCACTAGGCTATCATTTAACAATAGCCTATCTTAAGATTAATAAGTAATTAAAGCCGTACTTAATTTACTAATAAGGATATTTAACATAAGAAAGTGTATAATAACACTATTTACATTAAGAGGAAGACATTCTTATTATATCAGTAAAGTAAAAACGTTGTTAAACATATAAGGTTAATGCCCCTTGTATGTAGATATATATATATAGAAATTTAATGATCATCACATTAATAAATACATAAACCTTGGTTGGCGGACCTCCGTCAATCTCAGTCGTGTATCTTTATACTTAAAATAAATAACACCTTTAGGTAAAAATTTATCGACTCGAAATCTTCTTTGATTTCGAATATGACAGTGTCAAGAAGTTTTTTTTTTATATATCCAAAGAGAGAATATAATCATAGCTAAAAAGGTTGCAAGCGTTGTGCTTTTATTAGCTACCAACAAACTAACCACACATATACGGTTAGAAACGTAAAAGGCATCAACTAAATGTAGAAGATCTATTAAGGACTTGGCGCCATTCAATAAAACCGTATAAACAAATACTGTTATCGACTAAAAAGTAGATTTTCCTGTAGCAAGCTGTTCGATGATTTGCAGATGTTAAGCGATTGCTACTCTACTATTACGACATTTTGTTTCAATATGTCAAGTGTAGCTTCGCGTGGTTGCAGTTCCATACAATTTCCTTGTACTCGAAAGCTTGGCGATTAAAAAGAGTGGCGGAGAGTTTCTTGGTAGTTCTCGTCCACTCTATGCCCTTGATTTGGTAACACATAAGTGAGATGTTATTGCTGTGTAGTAGGAGTGTTGTAGATTAGAGGAATTCAGGAGGAAAAATAAAATCATTAGCAACAAAGAAAAAATGTATAACAACGCAAACAATATTTCGTACAAGAGATTTACTACGAGAGTTTTCGCAAAAGTAACAGTATCAAACAGTAAATAAATGCCGCTACTAAGTCGTATTGTAGTCGAAATATTATAATATATTTTGATTATTACCTGTAGCTGAGTTTCATCGTTGATGTAATACGAAATTCCATTCTAATCACCTCGACGTCCGTCGTTTCACAACTGAGCGTTTTTTAAGGCAGTTTTGCCACCACCAATTTAACTTAGGGTCCTTCAAGAAAAGAGCATAACAATTCATAAAAGGCGGAGAACCCACATGCGAGCCTGGCAATGTGTGTCTATGGGCGGCGGTATCACTTAACATCAGATAATCATCCGGCCCGTTTGCCCCCTGTTACATAAAAATAAAACGAAGGCGGTTACAACGTATTTTTACTTTAACAGGAACTGGTAGTTAATTTAAATTTTGGTCTTCATTCCAATATAGTCTATATGGAAGTACAATTGTTGTTATAGTAAAGTGAAAAATCATTTAATCATAAATAATATTAATTATTGTGTTACCTATATAGGTAACACAATGTACACTTATGAACGTCAAAAAAGAAATGTTTATAAAATGCTTCTAACTTTACATTTAATGCCAGTTCTCTAATCAAGGGCGTAGAACGGAAGAGAAGAACTGGCAATAAACTCTCTGCGACTCTTTTTATTCGCCATGTTTTTTTTACACAACGTTTGTAAGGAGCCTCAACCTTACACCATGCTCCACATGACATCTTAAGTAATAAATAATAATACCATAAATTATTAATAGTTATAGCACCTAAGAATATGTTTCTATTTTAGTATCTCAAATATGAATGCAATTGTGATATCCTTTTGTTCCTAATTAAAGACTTATTTATAAAGGCTAAAGAATGTCAAATGGTCACCCTACATAAAGGAAATAGCTGAGAGTATCGAGGTGCGAGGCGGGCAGGCGTCGAGCGGAAGTGGCGGCCGTTCCCACGACACTCGTCCGTTACTTCACCTCGCTGCATGTCTTGCAGTGCGTGCCATCACTCCCCTCGTTTGCCTAATCTGGAATGGATGACCAATATTAGCTCTCCAAAGAACAAAAAAATCCTTGTATGCAAAATACGGTCCGTGAAATTCACTATCGAATGCTTATGGTATACTATATCACATGCTATACCATGAACCTAAAGAAGGTATTAATTCTCGATATCCGTACTGGAGTAGTGTTGGCCTAGTGGCTTCAGCATTCGACTCATCTCTGAAGATTTAAACTCAAAAAGTCGACGGCGTGTGGCAATCAAGGAAGGCTGATCACGAAACAGCCTTGCGATTCTGTAACTCACTTTTCGAACTCACACAGCGGTTTTCACAGCACAGGGAGTCCCTAGTGTGGGGACTAGCGATAGATGAATTTTGTCACTACCTATTTGTCATGAATAAAGTTTTTATTATTTTTATTTATCAACTTCAGCGGCTTTCTGAGGGCCCTTAGACAGGCTGATATGAATATTTAAGTAGAAAGAAATCCACTAGGCAGTGTTGGCCTCAGCATGTGCCTCTTATCTCTGAGGTCGTATGTTCGATACCCTACACAATAGGCCTTAGATTTCTATATCTGCCTTGCGATTCTGTAGGTACCTCACTTTTCGAACTCACACAGCGGTTTTTACAGCGGCGGTCGCGCTCAAATCAGTCGTAAAGCAGTCATTTTACGATTTGGCATTCTGATAAACAATAAACTAGAAGCTCCCTTATCAGACTGATTTGAGCGCGACCGCCGCTGTAAAAACCGCTGTGTGAGTTCGAAAAGTAAGTTACAGAATCGCAAGGTTACCTTTAAATATCTCCCCGACACTCACCTTGGTACACAGATACACTAGTTACTTCTTTTCAGACGAATAAGTAACTTACTCACCAAATGAGATTCAAAACTACGTCTTAGAGATCCAAAAAATTCCTAGTCTTTACAAAACCACCCAGCTACGAGGCGAGCAATAACCATATTCAAAACTGAAAGCCGTGCGTCAAATATTAGGTCGGCGTCGGTTTGGCATTGTTATGATCTAGTTAAATCGATGTCGTTGTTAGTATTGAACGGTTAAACTGATCTCATTGTTTAGTCTACATTTCGACCGCCGACAACAATGTAATTTTTAGTTCATAGTAATCATAACATGTTACGGAATGTTAAATGAAATGGTAGACTTTTCAAATAGCTATTATTTCTCGTGACTATGAAATATGAATCACCAAGTTTCAAAATCTGAAATAGGTTAGGTAGAGGTGGCAATTAATATTTATATGTTATAAACTTATGAGACCAAGATACAGTATGAGACAACTATTATATTTTATTAATAGAAATAAGACAACAAGGAAGGCTTACCTGATAATAAGTGATACGCGTGCGTTGCCGGCCTTTCAAGGTTTAGTACGCTCACTTAAGGACCCAAGTCGAATTCGGAAACTCTTCGACGGGCGGCTTATTCATTCTTAAAAGGCCGGCAACGCACTCGTGAGCCCTTTGGCATTGAGGGTGACCATGGGCGGCGGTATCACTTAACATCAGATGAGCCTCCTGCCCGTTTGCCCCTTGTTCTATAAAAAAATCCATATAGGCGTGAAACCCAAGAGAAACTAAAAAAAAAAACGCTCAGTTGTCAAACGGCTGAAATAGGCTATTTATTTTGTAAACTAATTAAAATTATTTATTAGTGACCTACATAAATTGTCTACAGTCTAAACAATCAAATTAAACATTTAATTTTTTTTAAGAACCCGCCAAAACGCTTCTCTAGGCAAAATGGCGTCGCAGCCGTCCTTATGGCATACCATGGCTATAAACACGTAAGCTGCAAGTTTTTAACGTGTCAATTATCATTCTTAAATTGCACAAATATACATATATAATATATATCTATCAAAAAATGTCTCCGATGAAATTAACCTCCAGGAGTATTAGGAATAGACAGACAAATACTTATTATTTAGAAGTATGCTACGTCAACGTGGTTTTGTTTTGACTAACTAATCTGTAACCGTGTTGTGTCATGTGACATATTAAAATCATTATTTTCAATGTTATGTTTTTTTGAGAAATTAACATTATAAGTTAATTTACAGATTACTCTGAAATAACACTTTAATTTTCATACTTGAACTGTCTATTTCGTTTCAAAGATAATTATGCTATAATATACGAGTTAATGTCCTGATTCAGCGGTAGATGCGTGTAGCGTAACGTCCCGAAGGAGCGGAAGTCTTGCGCGCTTCCGGAGTCACGACCCGGAGATCCGGCCGATACTTGCCACTGGCCAACCGTTTCTTTTTAAATTACACACGCCATTATGAAACCTGATTTATTACCTTATCTGTATTATGGAATAGTCAACTTCAGGGGTTTAATGACTTGGCTGAGTATTATGTGACGAGCGCGTCGGAATCTCTAGTGAGTTTATTTGCTGTTTAGTATCTGGTAGTGTACAAGATTTGGTTTCTTTGATAACGCAAAGTCTTTTCTTAAGAAATAACTGCTACCATCGGCCAAACTACTTTTTTAGTAGCTACACATGGAATAGTTTGCTATGCTACTCCACAGATACAGATGCATTTCCGAAATAAAAACTGTTTTTTCTCTCTTCAAGGAATAAATAAACAAAAATTACTCGAATAGGTCTTCGAGTAATTTTTCGCTTTAAACGATATATTTTGCGAATAATTTTTATTTTTAATATAGATTATAAATCTACTTTTAGGGGTACTTAAATGGGCTACTGAAAAACTGCGATTGCGTGAAAAGGAATATTTTATAATCTATGGTGGCTACATGACTGTTTAACATGCGTAGTCTTTGACAGATAATTTCTTATTTTATTTACATTTTAGATATATTTAACGCATTTATGTTGGAACTAAATTCATGACGTAAAATATAGGATTTAAATTTGAACATCTCAAAATAATCTTTATGAGCTTAACATCCTTAAGTAATAAAATGGATGAATCGGAAATAATAAATCCACTGCCTCCAATATTATGTAACAATCCTCGGCAGAAAGTTAGCGCCGAAAAGGTATTTATTGATACATAAAGCAAGAGTCATATTAATACCAAATGCAGTAATATGGCTATCTAGAGGTTAATGATTAAAACTTGAACGACGAAGGAAAACATTATGAGGACATTGGGATATCATACACAAAAAACGTCGTGGGTCACAGTAGGCTGTTGTTTGGGTTGGGTTTTAAATGTCGTCGCACGAATTTGATGATACTGATTCTACACTCCTGCATAATCAATATCATCAAATTCGTGCGACGAAATTCGAAACTGTTACCCGTTGTTTTGTTTATATTTTGTGTAGACGACTTATTATAAACCTAAAAATATATATTTTAAGAATACAGGTTTATTAATTTTTTTTTCGTAATTTGGAAGTTTTGTCATTTTTATGTAGACCGTACCGATTCTGTAGATATTATATTGAAAACAAATAATAAAATTCTATGTTTATGTAATTAAAAATACTATACTATACATAATATACTATTTGTTTTTAATATAAAAATAACCAGGGGCGCTTCAACCTTCCAGGTCTGAGTATCTTTTTACTAATTGACAAGTAGGTGATCAGCCTTCTGTGGCTGACACGCCGACTAAGTTTTTGAGTCAAAGGTATGTCGATTTTCTCACGATGATTTCCTTCAGCGCATATAAGCAGAAAGTCCGTTGGTGTACCGTCGGAGACCAAACCTACGGCCTCACCTTACGCTAGAACCAGGCCGACACTGCTCTCTTCTTTCAGATATCTCTAAGAACATTATATAAAGAAAAGCACGAAGCACCTCCGGAGTTGAAAATCACTCAAGACAAGTCACCTGAGCCTGTGCCTTTGCATCCACTGCAACTTACTTTCTCACCAGACCATTTATGCCTTGAACTTCATGAGAATACAGTCATTAGTAAATTACGGTACATATTTTAATTCAAAAGTCCACCTTCCGAAGTCACTTGGCTAACTAAACTACATATGATTAAAACTCATATGTAAAAGTGTCTAATAACGTGCATTTTGATAAGGACTATTCGTCTTCTCTACTAGATATTTAATAATAATAATAATTAAACTTCATGACAGAAATATGGTTGTAACAAAATTGATCTAATGCTAGTCCCAACACTAGGGAGCATCTGTGTTGTGAGTAGATTATAATTATTCCGTGGTACATGGTGCATGTTTAAAACAATTATTTTAAGAAAAGTAATCTTGAAAGGCCGTCAACGCACTTGCGAGCCTTCTGGCAATGTGAGTGTCCATGGCGGTATCACTCAACATCAGGTAAGCCTCCTGCCCGTTTACCTTCCATTACATAAAAAAAACCTTAGTGTTACATCTAATTAAACAAAAGTCGTGTAAGTCCTTAAGTATTGTATTTGTGTGCGTATAATACACTCTGTATTTGGGAGTATGGCTGAGAGTTCTTATAAGCGTGTGCTTTTTGAAGTTATACTTCTTTAGGCGCGTTATGAAAAATTTATGAGAGTGAAATTTTACGATGCGCGCGCACCTGTGACACAAAATTAGGAGTGTGATTATAGCGTGCGCGAGCGAGATAGGAATAAGACAATCTACAAGTAAAAAGAAATAGAATATGCGTGAAGTTCGTATGCCAAGAATTTTGAATGACCATAATGACATTTGTCATTTACCTTTTAAACAAATAAAGGAGTTTTAATTATTTTTTCAAAGAAATTTAGCAATGCTTTTTGAATTATATATAATCAGAAGTGATTTAAATTGAATATTTAAACCAATACTAATTAATATTTGTGAAAAAACTGTGCTCATCAACCTTCCTAAGTGCTTCATTACAATTGAGGTTAACTATCAGTTTGTATTATTATTATCGAGTAATGTTTTGATTAAAAAAATTACCACATTGTTTAATCAAAACATGTAATTTTTCTCTAGCAAATATAAGGACAAGAGACAAAAAACAATTGATGAATCAGAGTAAGTGCACTAAATTGAATACAAAAAAAGAGTTGTCATCTTATCGCTGTGAAACATCAAAAACTGGAGGTGGAACAAAGCCAAACTATTTTTAATAATGCCAAAGAAGTATAACTTCTAACGCGCGTACATAAGTACACGCACCCTTTTTTTTGTTAGTTTTTGGAACCTTAGTCATGTCAAAATTAAATTAAGGCCTCGGCAGAAAATCGGGTAGCATTATTAGGTAGATATCATAGCTTTTATACATTTTGTCAGGTAATCGGGGTACTCTCTCAGAGAGTCCATAGATGGGGGGGGAGATTTAATTACCAAGTGGTTTACGTTTACGGTCACTGACAACAATTATATCACGAAAATTATCAAATGCTTTATGTCGGGTTAATACGCGATAATCAAGCACTCTTTATCTTCGATTAGCCACTTAAGACTATTGAAGTACTATTAGATAAATTTGATGAAGACTCTCTGAATAGCAAATGCGATTTACACAAATCTAGAGTTAGCACAAATCGCTTTCGTTTATGAGTTCGTCAAACCCTAAATTAAATACTGAAGAAACCTGTACTTACCTTGGAAATAAAAGAACAATTGTATTATTACAGGGTATGGAACCCAAGCGACCGCACCATTTACGTTAAGTTATGTGGTCTTTGGGACGATTCAGCTCGACTCGGTGCGAGCTGGTGGTGCTACCCCCCGCACCAGGTTTCTTTTAGTACCAGGATTTAGTGGTACCATTTATATTAAAGCCAGGCCGAGGGAATCATCGCCTATACCATTTGCGCACATTGCTCTGCAACTGGCTGCATCTCATCTAAGGGATATTGTTGTAGGCTATTTCGTGATACCTATTTTTGTGAGGTTTTCAACCTATGTACCTCCTGTGCTTTTAGGAGAGGAATAAAGCTGTTAATATATTTGTTTATTTAATTAAAACTCAATTACCTTGGCGTGTGAGGAATAAAATAAAACATTCGTCTCCATGATTGCTTGCATAATCGATGTCAATTAATGACTACATAAAACTTACTGTACCGAGTAGTAGTCCCTGCTGAACACCTATGAATTTTGCTAACACAAAGCAACAATACTTGCTCATACGAAAAATGAAATATTGCGAGGAAACCTCATCTAAGATATCAACAATGTGAACAACGATACAGTACTGTTCTATATCTTGAATATAATAGAAGATGATAAATTAAACATACGCAGAAATTTCAGATCAAGATCCATACTGGATAATGTTAGTATGTACTAAATATTATTATTTACATATTTAGTATTCAGTTTTAAGAATATCCATAGTGTTAAATCAGCTGCATAAGCACACTACACCACATACACACATTCACGTACATACCCTCACTTTCACACCATACAGCACAGCCGAATAAGGAATTACGAATTTAATATTTTTATAGATTTTTTCCTTTCGTTAAAATTTTGAATCTTTTTGTATATAAATTATGTTAGCTATAGCATATGTAAAATGTACCTACTGTTGTACCAGGTACAGTAAAAGACAAGTTTCAATAAATTAAATTTTTGTAAGAAATAATTTAGAATGCAGTTCCATATAATTTTGGTTATAAAACCATAAAGTCTAAAAATTACGAAGAAATTATTTTATTAGTTCTGTTCATTAACTATAGATGGCGTTTTAAGCACCTTGGTGACTTACTTGAACTTGGGCTCTCGAGAGTGGGTAATAAACTTTGAATTCACATAAGGTTTGACATTCATACGACATTGTCCGAAACAGCATTATTTTTATTGCACTTATTATATATTCCTCGTGTGTTTTATGTATTTCCGAACATGATCACAATCGTGTTAGATTACGTCATATTTTCTTAAATACCTCACCTACTGGATAGTCGACGCTCGGAATAGCAATTGTATAAATCATGAGTCGAGACCCTCCGTAGGACTATTATGAAATGCATAGAGCGATCGGTCGCAAAACGTTTAGGGTAAGGTAAGGTTTGGGTCCATACTTAAGTTCTTATCTCAATTTCGTCTTTGAGAGCTTTCAAATAGGCCAAACTTCATAAAGAAAAAATTATTTGACAACTCCTGAAACTTGATTGATTGGCATTGTAGAGTACAGGGGTCTTAGAGTTGAGACTTAAGTATGACTCTCGTATGCCAAAAATGTAATGGATTTGGACATGGAAGTCATACTTAGTGCTAAGTTCGATTTTGAAGCTTAGTCTTAGGGAAACTGATTTTTGCGACTATCACAATGTGAAATGTATGAAAAGAGATTTTACTTAACATTGATATAAGACTGATTTAATAATACGATGGATGACGACCATGAGAGCAGGCTTTGCACTGACAGCTTTACGCTCCAAAACACGAAAAAAATTTTTTTTTTACTTTAAAGTAAAAAATACTTGTTACCCAGCTCTTCCATAACAAACTTAATACTTAATTCCATAACAAAGTCAATACATTACACAAATTCAAAATAACTATCTAAATACTTCAGTTTTACGACAATTTTGCGATTATAACCGTCGCTAAAGATCGGTAATAAGCCGGTTTTGTTATATTAGCTTTAATAATCTCGTCGGTGACTCAGTAAAGCCAAACGCCTTTGTTCATTTCTCGCTAGAATATCCTGTGACACACGGATCTTCCTTATGTCATAAGATTTAAGAAATCTTTTCGAATTGTGAAGGTATGTCGGCTCTATTGCGATTTAAACTGTCAATGGCAACACTGGTTGTGTTGCCATTGTAACCATTCTTTTTTATGTTAAAATAATATCGTGACCATAGTAACAGATTATTTAATACACGTTTTAAATAAGCCAGAGGTCTTAATAAATTTCCAAAATGTTAAATCGTCACTTGTTAAATAGATTTTAATGCCATAAAAGGGGAGAAACTGTTGCTGCGTTGACAGTTTCTTTCTTTCTTCTCAAACTTGACGTTCAACGAAACGAAGTTCTATTAAAAATCCTAAAATTAAAAGTACATACTAATGTGCTTATTGAAATCATCAAATTAAATCTCTGTCATCTAATTTCTCTCTTGTTATGCTACGTTTTGTTTTGTCATGTTGCTTTATTCAGTAATGGAAATATGAAATAATAATTCATATAATTTCTGCTAAAGAAAAACACTTGATTTTGATTCAAAAGCCAAAACTTTGATTATCCAGTGTTGCTTTTCCGTTTCTGTAGGCTTGTGTTAAATTAAACAGACACAGAAAAGTGTCTGCCGGTGCCCCATTTGACGATTTACGAAACGATAAACACGTCCATTGTATTACAAAAAAGATTCAAGGTGCTATACAGCCGTTATTATTGTTAATACAAAAAATTTTAAGCTTAGGTTCTGGCGTGGGGCAAGAAATAGATTTTACGAGTGCGTGCGGCGCGATATTTACGCATGTTTACACTTCGGACATTTTATAGGCACAACGACACCGTCAATAGCGTTTTGAGATGTCCTGTGACTGATCTATGCTAATATTATTATAAGATTTGTATTTGTGTACAGTGTAACGAATAAAATCAAAAGAAATTAAATTAACGTCACAATTATAAAAAAAAATTATAACACTGGGAAATGGGCAGGAGGCTCATCTGATGTTAAGTGATACTGCCACCCATGGATGCACATTGCCAGATTGCCGGCTTTTTAAGAATTGTTACGCTCTATTTTTGGAGTACCCTAAGTCGAATTAATAATGATTTCCTTAATAATAGAAGCAATTGTGGGATAGTTGAGCAGTGTGGTATAAAAGAGGACGTCGTGACAAGGAAAGGCAATGCTTAGGTGGTTTGGCCATGATGAGAGGCAGCTTACGAGTAGGATATACAAGGCAGCCGTGGATGGTGAGGTCAGGTAAGTCGTACATACCTGGACCAAGGGAAGGGACTGGTCAAAAGTAGCCATAACCGACGAGCATGCATGGTGAATGTCGAAAAGTGGATGAAGAAAGAGATATGTCACGACCGTACCAAGTGGAGATCCGTGGTCTTCGGGAATGAGGCGTGAATAAATACATATTTTTAAAAAATCATAAAAAGCCAAAACAGGCCGTTAGTTGAATATACTCTACTTACGTTTAACGTGCCTTGAAGGGCCGTTTGTCTCACAGTTGAAGTATTTTTTTATGAATAAGACCGTAAAGAATCTATGATATTACAGTTACATTGACAAAATTATAGTCATGCACAACTTGCGCATAAGCACGGTAATAATAGACGTCTTTTTTACTATTACTTTATTAAAAATATAATATATCTACTAAATGAATTTAAAAAGTGTAACACTACAGTAAAATTTTGGAAAAATACTTAAAATCTTATATAAATTTGGTTACTGAGTATAAAAGTCAAATATAAAAATATACGAGAGAGAAACGGGATAAGAATTCCTGTCATAGTGAATCAACTCATAGATTGATCTTCGGCCTATGAGTTGATTTTGTCTTTGTCTTTGGTTAATTTCAGTCTAGTTTCCTCTACTAATCGAACCCGAAGAAGGCATAGACAATTACTTTGTGACGCGGTGGGGCTTCTGCGTGGAGATTGATGTTGATTGGAATTGATTCCATTATTAACCGGCCCTCAGTAAACACAATCGAAGGAGCACTGACCGTTTAAACCAAATTGGATACGAAAAACCATACAGTTGGCGCCATACTTTTGATTCGTATTGTACCAAAGACAAGGGCCACATAGTAAGATGTTTATAAAGGTTTTATGATGACTGAAATAAGATTACAAATAAGTGTGACCTATACGGGCACTAATTAATAACTATATTTAACTTTTAAGCTACTTTTTCTTGAAAATTAATTAATATTAATCATTTATTTGTTAAACATACAGTTAACTATCAATGTTGTCTAGTCACCAGGAACAGGGGCTCATCTGATGTTAAGTGATACCGCCGCTCATGGACTCTCTCACTGCTAGAAGGCTCGGAAGTGCGTTGCCGGGCTTTTAAGAATTGGTACGCTCTTTTCTTAAAGAACCCTAGGTCGAATTGGTTCGAAAATACTTCATTGGGCAGTTAGTTCCACATAGTGGCGGTGTACGGCAAAAACTGCCTTAAAAAACGCTCAGTTGTGGAACGACGGACGTCGAGGTGATACGGGTTGAATTTAGTATTCTGCCTCGACGTCCGATGATTAAACTGCACGTTCTGCTGCACGTATTAATCCGAACTACTCCTCTGAACACTGAAGATGCAGAGATTCCCAAACGCAAGAATGTGATTAAAAAACAAAACATAATTGTTACAAATTTATTATTATTTAACCTTTATCTGTATTATGAAAAAGAATCCTGAATAATTAGAACTATAACACGCATCCACACAAAATTTTACTTTAAAGCAAAAAGTTACGATATTTTAGGTCGTAGACGAAAAAAAATATGACTTAAAAAGTTTGCTTTTGTATTTAGAAGACCGATGGAATGAATTTTTCAGTGTTTCTAATTTTAAATGAACACAATCATTTAAATTAATATGTTTATGTTCAGTAATTTATCACAATAAACCCCAAAAATAATAAAAAAATGAGTATTATACTATAAGTGTCACGGAACCAAACCTCAAAATTATAACAAAAAAGGCATTTTCTAAGTAAAAAATCATGAAATAAAAGAAATTTATATTTTGCATGGGAGAGAGTCCGAGAGTCTTGACAAGCTGGTAGGGAGGAGTGATAGCAGGTAAAGTTGGGGTCGATGGCCTACCCGTTGGTCTGACCAAATTAAGACAATTATGGGTCTCAATTCTCAACATTCCTGATGCCCTGAGGCCAACTGAGGATAGAGCTGTAGACGTATCGGTTAGGGCTTTTCAAGACAAACAAGACCTTCAGTAATCAAGACTACGAAGAAGAAGATATTTTACACACTGCTAAAAAATT